GTGTGTAGCGTTGCTACGAGCTCTAGGGAGCAAGGAGTTTGGAAACTCGGACAAGAAACTGTTATCAATATTACGTGCACAATTGCACCGATATTCGTTGAAAAACGGTTGCTAAATTATAGCACCGATTCAACGGATATACCACGAATTGTGGTTTTTCATGATGAGAATTTGAATTACGGCATCCTCTATGAGCCACTCAGTGGTCATCTCGGTCGTGAGAAAACGTATAACTCTGTGAGTCACCACTATCGGTGGCTCAAGCTGTACAAATGGACGAGCACCTGTTTGCGCACGTGTGAGACGTGTCAGCGTGTGAAACCCTCTCCAAATACGGCTGCGCCGCTGGTCAGCTTACCGATTTCCATTGGGTGCTGGCAGTCCATGTGTTTGGACTTTGTGTTTGGCCTGCCGAATGATTCGGCGAGCAACATGGGTGTCGTGGTATTCGTCGGCCAGTTGAGCAAGATGGCACTTTTGGCGGCGGTATCAGACACCATTGGCGGCGGTATCAGACACCATTGGCGGAGTCGATACAGCAACGCTGTTTGTGGATCGTGTTTTCTGACAACACGGACTCCCAGAGTCGATTGTCTCTGATAGAGACCCCCGTTTCACGGGAAAATTTTGGTCGACTATCTTCAAGGTACTCGGCACCAAGTTGGATATGTTGACAGCGGATCATCCGCAGACCGATGGTCAAACCGAAAGTGTGAATCGCATCATCGAAGACGTTTTTGGCAGCATCTGCGCTGAGACGCCGAGGAGCTGGAGCGCCATGTTGCCACTCGTAGAGTTCGCACTGAATAATGCAGTGCATTCGTCTAAAGGCTACACGCCGTTCTACGTGAACGGGTCGATTCACCCTCGCGTCTCGCTGACGCCGCCATCCATGGCTCAGGGCTTGGTTTGGGAGGAATAGCCGAACAGCTAGCTGATGTCAGCCCCCTCACCATCCCTAAAGAAGTCGATGACTTCTTGTCTTCCAAACTGAGTGCCTTACGACACGTTCGCGATGCGATGGCTGAAAGCCAAGACCTACAAAAAGAATATGCAGATGAAAATGAAGAGGCGAAGTGGAAAGCTTTAAGGTCGATGACCTGGTTTGAATAAGCTCTAAAAACTTGCCTACACATGCAGCCTCTGTTATCTTTAGGACGAAGCTTCGTCCACGGTTTATCGTATTGTTTAAGACTGTGGCCAAGCGGGGCCTAGCGTATACTCTGAACCTCCCAAAAAGGATGCGCACCCACCCGGTGTATTACGTGGGCTTGCTTAAGCCGTACCGAGATCCGACGCAAGTGAACGCGGACGCGTTGGTGCCGAAGCGGATCCCACGGGCCCTTGGCCACCCAGAAGCTGAAATAGCAACTGGTTCTGAGCACGGAGTGCACAACCTCTACTTTAATGGCGCCAAGCGCTCCACCACCGCATGCAGCGACGAATTTGACCGATACACGGCTAGGAGTCGCTCCGACAGATCGCGGTAGTCTTCTAGGTGAGGCAGCCGGTGCATGACGTGCATCAAATTGTCGAGAGCGTCCGCACAGCGATATGCTACTTCAGCATGACGTCTAGTGGAGCTCCGATCACGAAGGACCTCGGCATCAAGAGCTCGAAGAGCGTTACGAGTCACCGGACGGCGGTCAACCCGGTCGTCACCGCCCGCCACCTACTATTCACCATGAGAACGGTGACGTCTAATATCACGTGGAACGTCTAGTGAGACGACGTTGTCACCCGGGTCAAACTCAATATCTGGTGAAGTGACGGGGATATCTCGTCTCCGAAAACTCGTGGGAGTTTGAGGCGCCACTTCGGCAAGATTAGCCAGTCTCCGTGGACGCTTGATCGGAAAGATCAGGACGTTCCCCGTCATCAGACGCCCTGCGCTTCCGTCAATAGCCGAGGAAATAGAAGGGCCATACGAAGTGCAAGAACCTCCATTTTAATGGCGCCAAGCGCTCCACCGTCGCATGCAGCGACGCACTCGCCTGCTCCACGGCTAGGAATCGCTCCGACAGAGCGCGGTAGACCTCAACGTGGGGCAGCCGCCGCACGACGTGCTTCAAATCATCAAGAGTGTCCGTGCAGCGATATGCTACTTCGGCATGACGGTCAGCGAAGTTCCGATCATGAAGGACCTCATCATCAAGTGATCGAAGAGCATTACGAGTCAGCGGACGGCGATCGACCGGGTTGTCACCGCCCGCCACCGATTCTTCTTGATGAGGACGGTGACATCCACTATCACGTAGAACGTCTAGTGAGACGACGTCGTCACCAGGGTCAAATTCAATATCTGGTGAAGTGGCGGGGATATCTCGTCTCCGAAAACTCGTGAAAGGTTGAGGCGCCACTCCGGCAAGATTGCCCAGTTAGCGTGAACGCTTTTGATCGGAAAGATTAGGACGTCCCGCATCATCAGACGCCCCACGCTTCGCGGCAATAGCCAGGGAAGTAGAAGGGCAATGAGCTGAGCTCAAGCAGGCCCTGAGCTCTTGCGATCGCAGACGCATAGCTGGCGGGAGCATAAAGGGTTAACCCATACCTCGCAGGGCGACAATCCAACGACGGCATGCCTTGAGTTTGGCAAACTCAAATCGGAGGTGTCGCTCCACACGCAAGTTCACTTCCTTGTGATTGAACTGTCAGGTATACAGTGAGGAAAATTTGCGGTGCTGTCGCACCCATCGCTCAAAGAGCGCTTCGTCATCTGTAGCACTTTCGCCAGAGGCGAGCACTATAGGTATCGTCCGCATTGCGGGTACACGAGAGCCACCTCGTCGAGCACGCAGACGATTGCGATAAGCTTCCAACGGAAATTCTTGTGGAACCAAGAAGCGATCTCGAAGAGCTTTCCGTTCGGCAAGCTCATATTCCATAATGACCGGAGGCCCGATGATGTGGAGGCGTAACGGTCGAGTTACTACGTCCTTCGCTTCCACAGCGGGATCTACCAGGCGAAAGCCATATTCCACACGAAAGGCAATAACCGGCAGTGGATGGGCGTGCATCAGAGCCGCCTTAAGGGCAGCTTCCAGCTGCCGCTTCTGTGTCTCATCGAGATCATTGGTGATGACATCACGTCTCTCGGGTGACAAAAGGTCAGAAAACGGACATGGGGTCCGCAAGGCGCGAGCAGGGCTCGTATCACGCCGCTGATGCGGCTCGCCTTCCTCGGCATTCCACCCGAGAAAAGAAGTGTCAGACTCGTAGTCGACCTCCTCTACATCTCCAACAAGGTCACTTGTCACTGATAGCGTACGTGGGGCTCGACGCTCGGGATCAATGAGCCTAGGGTTTAAACCCCTTGATGATGCCACGACGACACGGTCCTACATGGCACCGCGTGCGGACGACGAAGTTGGGCTCTGCCCGAGAGCGCTGTCGAAACCAGCGAGACTTGGAGACTTCGGTGTCGTTGACACAGGGCTCATTGAGCACGAAAGTCGTTTCGTTCCAACGTAGTGTCTTACGGACACACAAGCCTCGTTGAGGCAATAATCGTTTAGAACTGTAAATGATCTCAATCTTAACGAAGGACTATTAACGGGGTTACATTTACCCTGGTAACCGGGGTGTGTGTCACACCAGATGGGCATGGTGTGACCACACCTAAACAAGAATACGGTATATGGCTGGATAGCCAGTACTTATACATGTATTTAGATTTTATTATATATATTAAGGAAAATCTATGCATTTAAAATCAGGCGGCTTTGCCGCAGATAGAAATAAATAAAGTCAGTTTTGGATTCAAAGGAAAAGGTTGATTAGCCTTGGGTTAAGGCAATAATTACTCTTGGAGTTAGCGGATTGCGATCCGCTAAGCTCGTACTTGTCCTAAGTATAAAATGAAAGGTCGGTGACCTAACTTACTCTTCCTCAAAGCGCAAAGCTACGGGTGCCCCGCTGCATTATAGATACTGGCAGCTCTGCCGCAAATAAAGCAATTAAAATACGGTTTCCAATTTAAACAGGAAGGTTCCTTTACCTTGGTAAAGATTTCAGCACTCTTGGAGGCAGCGGATTGCGATCCGCTGCACCCGTAATGTTTCTCGGAAATAACGTAAGGTCAATGACCTAAGCTAATCCTCCTTTAAGCACCAAGCTACGGCTGCCCCGCTGCTCTTGGTAGCACTTGTAGTAAATCTGCGCCTGAGTCGATATGACTGATCCTCTGAGAAGATGGAGCAATACTCCTATTTGCTCCAGGGCATGCAGGACGGGCTTACCAACCTGATAACCCTGATGGGCTTTGAAGGCGTGGAGCACCTTGTTGCGCATGAGCCCGTGGCCATAAACACGCGCTTAGAGGCTTTTTCAAAAGCGGTATGAAGGGTCAGTGTCCACGCAAAATCGACCGACGAACCCTTTACGGGGAAATATGAGTGCCAGTAGGCCGCCGTTCGCCGACTTGGATTTGAATGGGTTTTTTGTTCCTCGTGGAGGTCGAGATCAAACCTTTACAGGTCAGGATGTTTGGCTGTTAATTTCGACGTTCCGAAAGTTGTGATTTTAGAAAAAAAAATCTCATATCAGGAGTGTCGTGCATTTTGTTTGACGCGCGACCGAACAAAAAGAATACAGAACGCGATGGCATTAAAGATGCCAATATGTGCATTCTTTTCGTACTTTGATACGATCTCAACGTGCCACCAACATAGTGTGATCGTCGCGGCTAGCGGTTCTTACATTTTTGAGGCGAACACCAAGTTGCTCTCTCATGACAGCTATTACACCAAAGCTTTGAATCGTGACCCAACTGTTTTGCCATCACTACAATACATACAACAGAGTCCTTCACCCAGAAAGAGGTATTGCCTACTCTCTGTCTTTATTATGGCTGTATGCTCGTATCCTACGGAGATAAGTGCTGTGACACCTCGCCCAAATATCACGACTAACTCGTCACCAATTTGCTGACCTGGTCTAAATTTCTTTATACTTTTGTCCGACAGCAAGCGCCCGGTCTAAATTTTCTATTTATTATTTTGCCCGTCAGCAAGCGTCGCAACAACATTTGCCAACACGATCTAGTGTTTGGATGTAAATTTATCTTGGGTTTCTAGCCGCGACATGTTCAAGTTTCTATACGACTATACGTGCAGGCTTTCTACTGAAACGGAGCGAAGTGGGCGCTTGCTTAACCACAGGTCGTAGCTCTTAGGAACCTCTCCTGCGCGTGGAGCAGCAGTGGTCGGGTAAGTTCGTACCACCATATCTTGATGCTTTATAGATGGTAAAAGTGGCGAAGAGGGTTACAGTCAAGTCGAGTGTTGGGCGACTAGGTAGGTCGTCTATCCCGTTTTGAAGAAATACAAGTTGGCTTCAGTGGAGCGGACTTCCGACGAGAACGTCCCTCATTCATGACTTTTCGAGGAACAAAGTATGGTGAGGACATCAAGATGAAGCCCAGCATCTGCTCTCTCAACGATTATGTCGGTACACCGACTCTTTACGATAATCTCAAGATGCGGCAAATAGTAAGATGGGTCAGATTTTGGTTGTGTTTTATCAGCCAAGCCATCATACCTATGCCTATAGAAGCCCCAAGCTGTTCATCATCGTAAATAAGACTTAGAACAGAAGGTAGCTCGGCTATAGGGGATGTTTGAGACGTTTCTTTGTACGCCACAGAGTGCTTCACGTCAAATAGTTCATAAGAGCGAGATGGTGGAATGGCTTTTTCGAGCCCACGTAGGTACGTTTGTTTCCATTTCGGGCCGTTGAGTGTGTAACTCGATTCTATCACATGTTGTGTGGTTGTGACTAAGTTTAACACTGCAGGCTTATATGTGTTGACAACTTATTAGCATTGTATGTAAGCATTTTTTTCAAACCATATCCGTGTGCGTTTCGCATGTCTCCGGTTTTGGCATGAAATCGTGGTTCTCAGCAACAGCGTTCCGAACTCGGCACATGACGTCTAGATATTGTATACAATTTTCTGACAATGACGCGCCAGGCTGATATCACGCGAGCCGCTTAATATCTACAGCGGCTCCCTCGCCTACGTCGGAGGACTTTGTGGTGGTAACCAAGCACTTTATACACACCTAAGAAAGGAGAGGGAACACAGGATGATATATCTAAAAATGCCGCAGAAGTAGCATCTCTGAATACCCAACAGCTTACAAATCAATAATTTAAGTTTGTTTGAGGTCCATCGCTTTCAGTGCGATCATGCAAACCCCACCTCATGCAACTCATCTGGCTCTCGCAGGCCAGAAGTAAAAAAAAGTTACAAATAAATAAAATAAAATTGATGTGCTCCGCAGTCAGTTTTCATAGCTAATCTTTCTACTTTGTGTCTCACATCGTAATGTTTATTTATTGTAACTTTGAAAGGTACCAACTTTAACGTACAGCGATGATTGTCGGTTTCTTCCTCATTTCATACATTAAGGCCCTTTTCATAATCCTCGACTGACTTGAAAACCGCAGCAAAATTGCCCTTACCAAACCCTCCGCATCCCGCAGCCTGTTCCAATCGACCAGCTAGAGTCTTTCATACAATCAACACGTTCAATAATTTCAAAAAAGACCGTCGCGCGGTCGCCCGGAGGTTTTGTAAAAATCTGCAAAAGAATACCTTGATCGTCCTTGTCAACAAGCAAGTCCAGCTGCTCAATTTGCTTGTATTGCTCCTTGGCCAAAGCGTCACCGATACGCTCAGGCATTTGATCGTAGTAGACTTGATTTGGACGAGATATAAACTCAAAACCTTCCAAGTGACTGCGCTTCTGCATCTCTGTCCGTGTCTGAAAAATATCATCCGTCTTGAGCGCCATGTGCTGCACACCTGGACCAACATTTTGTTTGAGATACGTCTAGATCTGACTCTTGCGCTTTGTGCCAAATGTCGGTTCATTGACAGGCAGTAGCACCATTTCGTTGTTGCTGGCTAGCACCAAATTGTTGAGCCCTGAGTCTAGCGTTCCCACATCTTCGGCCGTAAACTCGGCAAATTCGTGGAAACCCGTGAAGTCTGAGATGTACTTGACTGCCTCCAAAAGATTCGGCACGTTGCCCACACAGTGATCAAGGCGCTTGATGCCAATGTTCACGTCTGGTACACTGTCACATTTCTGGTAGTCGGGCACAAAAGGTCCCGCGATGTTGCCACTCCCCCAGCGGATTACCACGTCACCGTACAGCTTGACCTCCGACACAGTGGTTGTCTTGCCCGACCCCTTGTCAGTCAGCGTATGAGGTTCCACCACACCTACGGCGCCATTCTACAATGAGATCTCGTAAGCAGCCTTAGCTTCATTGACTAAAATCCCAAATCCCCAGCACGCTATGTCAGACCGTGTTTCATTACAAACTTTTGCGCGAACACTAGGTCATAACCGGGCATTGCACTCACTGCATCAAAAGCTTTCTCTGTCTCGAGCGCATACGGTACCGTAAACATAAGCTTAATGTCGCCAATTTGTATGACATAACTAGCTGATACATGATGGCCAGTAGACTGGTCAGACTTGCCAATCGGACACATTCCTAGACCCCACGCAAAGCGGCGAGACATTTGTGGCATCTGCGCAGTAAAATTCAATGTGATGAATCTTTTGCACATCAAAACGTTCGGTTTTGGCGTTTTGACGCACAAAATGTTTGTAGCCCACGAGCTTGAGGTCATTAGTGTCAGTTGCGGGCGGCATCTTGAACAGCTCACATGGTAATATGGGCAGATTGAAGTAAATGTGAATATGAAACCTGCAGTGATAGGGAAATAGGCATCGAAACCTTATGCTTTGTGTCTAATCCGCAGGTTTTGACGCTGCCTTCATCTATTCTCGCATGATAATAATAATAGTAAGATAATATAGCAGTCATCTACTCAAATTATAATAAATTGAAGCCCGAGCGTTCGTACACAATAAACAACACTGTCGAGAGAAGCACCATCATTCCAGCACCAATTCACATTTTGTCCTGTTTGGCCTGCCACTCAAGAGCCTTGAGTCTCTTCCGTACTTCAATGATTTTAGCTTTACATGACCATACTCTTTATGAGAGCTACGAAGACTCTGCCGCACATCATCTAGCACTTTGGTTACCGAGCTCACGCATTCGATCTCCTGTGACATTACCTTCCTTGTGCGTTTGAGCTCGGCCGTTACATCTACTGCTGATCCTAATGTGCTGTCACTTTTTGATGTATTTGACTTCTCATACTTCTGTGGCAATAAGGTTTGGCGCTGCTGCTCAAGGCGCTTGATTTTGCGCACGCTGAAGATAGGCTACAAGAACCTTCCTGCAGTTGGTCATGTGACTATGTATTTGCGCATTGTGCTTCTCGAGCTCTTGTGCTACCAGCTGTGCCTCTTTACTGTCCTGCATATCTCCAATCCAATCATGAGCATTCGTGAGTGCGCGTCGATACGCATTTATAGCCTCGCTCATTTTTGCTCCAAGCGCTTGCTCCTCCCCGTTTGAGAATGTCAAGCTCTGTTGGGCTGAAGTGTCGCTTTGATGGATAGATAAATTTGTGCACACATAGCGCCAAATACCACCAAGTATGTGCTCAGCTTGTTCAACCTCCTCCATACTTATGGACTAGACTTTCTTTAACTCTGTCTAGTCCTGTATAATATTATATTTTGTCGGAATTATGTTTAAAAACTTCAGGTGAAATATGAGTGCGACGCAAAAAGAATGAATATAACGAGTTTAGCTTATTATTAAAGGCATAACTTTATTATTATTCAAACTGCTTTATGATTTTTTCTGCTTTGAGTACTTTCGAGGTTATTTAAGACCATTAATGGTACCTGCAAACAAATTAGTGCAAAGAGCTCTTGGATTTATGTCAGTAAGCTTGTTGTTACGGTCATTAGAGGGCCCCAATGAATTAAACTCTGATCAACAAGCTTTATTTCTTATTATACTTTTTAATTTATTGATATATCTGAAATTCTAATGAATTTTGTTTGAGTTGATGGTTTTTGAAAGGATGAAAAAGTTATTTGCAAAAATATACATATTATTTACAATATTTGTTGTTGAAGTCTAAGAGAACCGTATAGTGAAAGCAATTGAAATGTAACGACCCATTTACACTAATGATTCGCCCTTTTAGCGAAGCTTAGGGTAATGGATCTAGGCCCGTGGTGGAGTAGTGTGTCTCAAAGCCAGTTACTAGTGTTAGGTGCTATCAGAGTGATACTAAACAGATCGGGCTTGTAGCCTTTGCGATGCATACATCTGGGTTTTAATATTATATGTATACATTCGTGGTAGTTCTTGATGTAAGTCACTTTTCTAGTGCAAACACCTAAATATTCTGTTTGCCAAAAAGCACAAGTGTACCTTGGGTGCCGAACAAATCGCAAATCCTGGGATGCTTCGTTATGTAGCATGCTCTACGGGCAATTCATACTATGACAAGACCACTGTAAATAAGTCGGGTTCGCTATCCCAAATGAATTTTAGAACTACTTGAGTGTTGTGCAAGTACAGTGTAAACTACGCTGTTACAACGCAAGCCTCATCAGTCGCCCTAATGGAATGTCAAATGGCACTGGACTGCGGAAAATGAGGCGGCCTACCAGGCTGTCAAAGAATGAAGCCTCATCTGTACTAGTGTGAGGGTCCTCTCAGATCCAGATTGGCCGTGTCTGTGACGTATTGGCCATGTCAAGTTCTGTGAATATCAACGTGGCTCCCGTTTGTAAACACGTTTCTCATTGCATAGTAAGATGGTTATTTTTCTGCCGCGTATAACGTCACGGCGAGAAATACTGGTCGGCTTACTGTGGTGGCATATGAACTTGTGCGTAGCCCTGGTTATGATCTGTCGCAAGTCAAGATGATGAGGTCGCGTATCAATCAGGAAATACGTGCATCGCATCCCTCGAGTAGGTCGCAACCTGTGTTGGGCATATCAAAACTGTGCAAAGCGAGAAGTTTATTAACTCAAATAATTCTTTTATAGTGCGTGTGAAAGCGCGTATAAACCGTGATTTCCTATTACAGGACTGTCTATGTTATAAATCGGACCCTTTCGATACGCAGCAAATGATGGTATCGCAAGATGAAGACCTCAGGTACAGAATATTCCACGGGGCACTTATACCCCTTCCGTGGTCCATCTCAGCTGGAACAGACATGATGCTTGGTTTGCACTGTGTTCTGGTGATTTGACGTGTTTAACCGGGTACGATCTTATGTGCTCACAAGTGAAATATGCAAACGTGAAAAACCATTGTCACATGCGTCTGCACCCTTGGCCTGGCTGGCCCTTATAATTTTGGGGGGGGCACTTTTATTACTCCTAGCGATGTGTTTGGTAATACCGGTATGGTGGTACTGTGAGTAGTAGGAGCAAGATATCTCAACTTGCTGCTATTAGTGGTACTGTTGAGGATACAGCAAAGATATTCTCCAACGATCTCTATCAAAAATATGGCTTGCCTGTGATAATTGTCTCTAGTGAATACCAGCGGTTGTAGCACATTCTGCGAACTAAATTTCAAGTGGCTGGTACCAGATTTGACATGTTCGCAGCAGACCATCCCCAGGCAGTCACGCGTTTACCATGTGGTAGGAAGTATCCTTCGAAGCTCATCCACGGAGTAATTGCGCAGCGCGAATTATAATGCCTTTACCTTTTGAGCGCAATTTACTCCTCTGCAGACATCACACCTTTACCAAAATGATTTGGGCTTTGCTATGCACCTCTTCAAAATGGATCCGGTCTGGTTTGATTTACAGATCGACTTGCTTGTATTAGTCCGACCGCGATAAAGAGCACAAACGAGAAATGTTGACTCGAATAGATTAAACTTCATGCGCCGAGTACGAGACGTTATGGGTCTAAACAACATACAGATGTCAAATGCAAATTGAATACATGGGATGTTACTCTAATTCATACATATAATCAACATACAGAGGTAGATGATATTCAGGGGTACCAAGATTTTACCGGATGAGTTTATTCACATAAACTTTTTGCAGTCCTTAAAACTGAGTTGTACGCTATTCAATTTACGCTCTAAGTTGCACGACATATAGTTATACGCAAGATGTCCCTACGGATATCCAGAGATATACTTGAGCAGTATCACAACCCCGCTCTGATGAGCCACTTGGACGCGACGCACTTTGTCAGAAATAAAGCAACGCTTCAAAAACATTTTGATAATATAATTTAAGCTAAGCTGCTAGAATCACCAATCCTATCTCAAAGCCTTGAGTCAGTCAATTATATTATGCGCTTCCGAGAACGCGACAGAATGGTGCCGGCGCTTTCAACTAATGCGCGTTTAATCTCTTGAAGATAGTCGACGCCCCTCAGCGACTTGTAAAACGATGAGAGCCACCTATATGCAGGTGTCCTTCGCCACTTTTGTTCGGTGGTGTCTCAATCGGAAAAGCTTTTGGTCGCCAGCGGAATAATTTAGCATGTGGGTACCCTATTATGATGTACATGCACACTACACATTTGTCGATTTGATTCAAAACTGGGCTAAAACGATCATGTTAAAGTATCATGATTAGCATTTGGTACGGACGAGGGTGAAAGGGCCTCGCGAAACGAGTTCCTTGCGACATAGATCTCTTGCTGTGTATTACATAGCATTAAATCGTGACAAATAGTTAAACAGATATTAATACATCAAAGCCAGACATAATGCTGAATATGTTGTAATTGATGCGACTCAGCTACTCTATCTTTTCTCTGCGCATAGTAGACAACTACTCGTTGCATATAATAAGTGCCTGGTATAGTAAAAAGCTACATTCAGTCCGAAACCCATAGGAGCTTGAGGCTCACTTCAGCAAGATAGTCGTGGCATCGTATTCGCTTATGACCTTATGTACCCTCCATATTTACCTCATTAGTCCGAGTCGTGCGGCAAAAGCGCTTTTTACTAGCAAGCAAGAGGAGTGCCATACCCCATTGCTAAGGCTTGGCCGGTAACTGTACAGCGAGATAAGGATATGAGCAGTGTTTTTGACCGCACAAACTATGTGCTCACTTCAATGTCCACGACAAAGAGTATTCGGCAAACTAAAGTATTCTGCAAAGTAATCTATTCTGTCGAATGTGGTTAGTAAGGCCGCAAAGGGGGTAAGGCGGTGTGATTTCTTCATACAGGGTCCGTATTACGTCGCAGAAACTAGGATTATGCGCTATCGCCAAAATCATTGCATTTCGGATTTATCCATATTTAAATGTTCTGACATTACTTACCGCTATTAATGAAGCTCCAAGCAAAATCTATTGGGAAAAAGAGGAGTCTGAAGACCTCATGGACCAGATTTAAGGCATGCGTGTTGTTCTCCGTCTGATCTGTAGGAAGTTTATTGGCTAAGAGTCTTTGCCGCGCTTCCAATGAATTGAGTCAATTGAATCCATATTTATAATCTGAAGCAAACTCGCTCCGATTCGCTGCGGCTCTTGCGCTTGCAGACAAGCACGGCCGGCTTGCCTAGCCAGGTCCAATACAGTAGTAATGGGTTTCATTTTGCCGTGAGCCTGTAGCGAAAACTGAGCTTCAAATACTGGACATAAAGCGCACAATTTGTCAGAAAAGTGGCAAATCTCAACATTTAAATATCGCGGAAGACCCTTGCAAACTTGGACGATCTAAAGTGTAGTTTTCGGAGAAGAGAACGGTGGGGCGCTGGAACTTGGTATGGATTTGTGACATGTCCGTCCGAAAACGCATAAAGCCTTTGAGGCTTCAATCACAAGGACCCAAGATCGCCGAACCTTGAACTTGGAATAACAAGTAAAACGAAGTTTACGGTCAAGGGGCAATGATGGAGCTTGTACTACTAGCTTGCAGTAGAAGTGAGAGCTCTTCGTTGAAAAAGTGCATGTAGAGCTTTCTCTTAGAGTGCATTGTCTCAGAATAAGACTATGCGTTCGTGACCTCAGTAGAAAAAATCTTCATAGGTGAAAAAAGGTGTAAGGTACGTGTCCTAATATAGCGCACGCTTTTTTTACATTGTTGTCCCTCGTATTTGGGTGGAGCTCGAAAGTGCTGTGGTGAGGTATCGTGATAATGAAAGATCATAAGCAATAGTTGACACGGATGGGAACATTAATGTTGCGATCCGTGATACAATCAGGTCCCAAGCCTCACGCATTGGATTTATTCTGATAGACAGTCAAACGTATGTTATTTAATATCAATTTAGCTAACTTTGATTTTGATAACAATACTTTTCTAGGTTAGCAAGTGTAAAATCTAGTAATTTGATATGCTTTCAGCTCGGCACCATAGGGCGGACGATGAGCCCAATCCTTGTGTGGTAGTACAAACTGACTTTGGCACTCACAGCTTCTTCTGTGCAAAGCTCACTACAACACGTTAAGCGGGGCAACCTTATGTCTGCAGGAATGGTGATCGCCAGTCATATGAAAATGCACGCAAAAAATTTTGGAAAGGAAGCGTTTGACCATATATGATTGATGTGAGAGCTAGAGTGCATTTACGTACTTTCTTGATATTTTTGCTTGTACTTCGTTGTCGGTGTACTTGATCAAAACAAATAATTTCTCACTTATTATGCTCGCCAGCCTCGTGTTTATCTGTGCTAAACAACATTTGCGCGTCAGTAAGAAAGTCGAGCATTAAAAGTGCAACAACAATCATGTTGCTCATTGTCTTTCGAATTCAAGTTCTACTTAATCATAAAATTAGTTTGCTAGATACAGCAATCGGCGTGTGCAATTTATTTCCAGCGTAGCTTTCATGAGGAAAAACAATTGATAAAACATCCCACTTTCTTACTTAGTCCTCACTTCGAAACTTCTTTGTCTTGGCGTGCCAACATATCACTTTCGCTTCTCAAATTCTATAGTTATCCCATTGTGCTTGCAAGTGGTAAAGGATTTGGGCCATGATTGTCGTGAAGAGATGTTTTGATTGATTCAAGAATATTCAGTATTGTAATTCTTTCGACGTTTTAAGCAATAAAGCGTCAGTCATTATGGAAGAAGAAGAGATGATGAGCTATTTTATCGAGCCATAAATATGCTGGTACCTTTGCGAAGTCATAAATGTAGACTCTTCTTTATGCTAGGACTAAATTATAATCTAAACAATCTGGAATTCCTGTGGTGAATCGCTGGGCTGATGGTCATCCTATCACACTCTTGTAATAGCATCTAGACCAAATATCAGGGAAATATAGCATACGTTTAACATTTGTGGATAGCTACTTTTTTCTTGATTTCAATCATCCACCAGAATGCATATCATACCACAGACAATTCGACGACAGTTTTAAGATTTTAAGATAATGGTTTGGCACAATTTTAATCGGAAATTATAAGAAAAATAGTAGAATATATTGAAAGCTAAGCTTGTAATACAAAACCTAAAGAACCATTTGTCGATTTGTTAATTAATATTGATATCGAATAAATGTTTCAGCAAAACATAATTTGTTTAGAATATTACAGATGTCAAAGCAAATGAATAACATTATTACCACAGCATGAGCTAGTTTGGTCATACAAGTTACTTGAATAACTTGTACTTAACGTGTACAGTCTTATTGCGCGACTTGATGTCCTTAGTTTCCTTCTAAGCTGCGGCGATTTGTACCAATTAAATTGGTATCGGACCAAAGTAACTGCTTCAGTCAATGATTGAGTCGCATATAAAGCGTAGTCATCATGCTTTTTGGCCAGTGAAATCTTGTCTATGCACTCTAAATAAGTAAAAAAAACTTTAGTTTGCGCTTAGTGGGTTATAACTATGAAATGAGCATAGTCGTTTTTCTATAAACATATTTTGACAATTCGCAAACGGGCCATTTCAAGCAAGCCTATATGTTGTAATAGCTCTTGGGCCCGTTGGATGAACGTATCTTTGAATGCTGAATGAATCCGATCAAAAATAAACTCAAAGTCCCATTTGTTTAGACGGGGTTTGAATCCGACTACATTAACTTCGGACAAGGCGAATCCAATATTACAACTGCCAGAATCCCTCGTCATTCGACTCGCACCCAGCGATAATATGTTGCAGATGAAGGTGTGCAAATTTAACGAGGTTATCATGCTCATGCTCAGATGAAGCAGAGTCTGTGCTAGCAAATTCACAGAGCATAGATTTATCAGCCTTCTTGAAAAAGCAGAAGCCAAATACTCTCAAACGTCTAGTGTTGAAAACTTACTCAGAATTTACGCATCACTAACTTCGCGAAGAACACTTAAGCTTATGCAATGCACGAGGGTAGCGACCCACAAACATCAAGAATCTTTTTTTTTAGTACCACCACTTCGATTTCGTACCTCATGATAGCAATAGTAAGCACTTCACTACAGTCTTTCAGCGTTGCGCTTTTCCCGATTCACTCTAGTGTAGTGTATACATACGTCATTATATGATATCTGAACCCATCAAATTCTCCTCGATCAAGACGCAGGTCCATTGAAGTCACAAAGCTTTGATCTTGAATCAATGCTCAATAACACAACTCAGTGCTAGATTGAGCGCAATCCGCGCCCGAGGCTTCTTCCTTAGCTGCTAAATCAAGCAAAACACTCGACGAGCCGCCAAGAAGAACATGGTTTCTGTGAAAGCTCCGAGAGTATTTTTCGAGAATGACTCACTGCAGATATAGCCAGCTACTCCCAGAGAATTACTCACTGATATTACTACGTCTCAAAATAAGTTGGTAATACACATCGACCGAGTCGCGAGCTCTGAACAAAGTGCGAACAACCATGCTGTTCTGTAGCAGTCCGTTCTAGGAATCGCTGATTGTCCCGGGGGGTGCCTGCTCTATGCTTCTTGTAGGCGTGCACAATATTTTCTTCGCTTACCGCCAAACAAACGCAAAAAGTCGGTGTGGAGAGGGGAGTATTTTACCTCTATTATCATACTCGCTTGGATGTTTTCACGAAAAAAACATATATGACATGGGTATGCTCCCTTGGTAAGGGCCAGTACCTTGTGACGCAATTTCGATTCCAGGAAAAGGGAGATTTATGGCGTGGGAGCGACACCGACGACGGGCTTATTTTTACCATTTCGTGAAATTCTGATCAGACGGCGGTAAGATGGGGTCTTTACAAATTTGACTTGGAGGAGAATAAATAGCGATTGTTTCGTGTTCTCCAAATTTGTCGCATGGAGACTGGTCCGAGCGGTAAAGTGATGCAGTACATAGGGCAAAAATATACGGAGACAGGCAACTTGAAGTTAAAACTAGGAAGCCTAGCTTTATCTCGATGAAGAATGAGCCATTATTTTCACATCTCACCTGTAGCGTTTCAGGCTTGTGGTGAGAAAGTTTATAAACTCGCAAATGGGTTACGTGTGGTAGTCCAAGAGGATGTAAGTCCTACCTCGATAGCCCGGATACTTACTTTTATTGTGTTTAGGGAAGTATCCCTACGGGGTGTTTAGAAGCTTCCGAAACAGTAAAAGCAATCGAATAATAAAATCACCGGATAATTATAGCAAATACCTGACTGGAGCCGAACTCATCCGTAATGTACGGTTTGTTATTGAATGCACTATTAAAGCACTGAATGCGAGGTGTGAATGAGTTTCCTCATGGACCCTTCAAATTCCATCCATACTTCGCTTCCAGAGCATGGCGACGTGGCCTGCCGCGGGGATTTGCCAAATTTTGAGTGTGTGACTTTTGGTTTGAGTTGCTTTTGAAGCCAAATATTGCGTCACACGTCAATGACTCTAACCAAGGGTTTGTTCACCAGCATAAGCATTTTCTTTGGTGCGAGCTCGAAGCAAGTTGGATAAGAAGCAAGCTCGGTCACTTTTCGCCGATTTCCGTTTTTACGGAGGGTAAAGCAAGTAGAGTATTTTGCATGCTTCCATATACCTCGACCATTCCAGAACAGATACCAATTCCAGGAATGGACGTGCTATAGTAGAGCATGAACGATTGCTCTTACCAAGTGATCTTATTTGTTAGAGGTATTTATCGACTCTAAATAAAGACAATCACATTCTATCAGTGTGGTGAGTTCTTCCGAGCGAAATGCTACAGCCGCTTCTACGTTGGTAGCACAGCTATTGAGCCGCATCTTGCATACATACATAATACGGTCTATTTTGATGTTATGATTACCCGTTTGTGAGCACAGCATCAGGGTTGGGTGTAAGAGAATACTCATCCTAACACTCGTGAAAACTGCTGGAGTGAACATTTTCAAAACACCATTTGCTTACATCGACAAGTGTGTTTTTGGCGCCGACAAAATTTTTTTGGGTTGCTTCATTTCAATGATTGTCAGCATAAAAATTGTGCAAAGATCTAAGCCAATGTAATCTGACTAATCTGACCAATTTGACCAGTTAAACAAGTAGCTCTTCATGGGCAACACCTCGTTCAAGTGTAGTGCCGATTACGCCGACATGGCATGCCTCCTCTCCAACCGCCTCCAATGATGTTGGGTGCGGAGACGATACGTCTTTCTATAATGACAGAGGAAGCTTTGTGTATGCCCCGATTCTGTGTCATTTGAATCAAAAAACGTCGAATTCGTGTCGTCTGTGACGCTTCACCATTTGCCATCAGATGTGCAGTACTCCATGCAATTGTCAATGAACATGAACGCGTTATTGCGCTGAATTTTGTCAGCTTCAAGACGCACAGAGAGACAGTCAAGTAGCCAGCAGCTACGATATATGTTCTTGTCAATTTCAGGACATTTTGAAGCCATCTCTGATCTAACTAGATTATGCATTATGACGCACATGGATATCATTACCATATATATCGCATGTAAAGCAAAATGGCCCCTCTTTTCGTAGAGTATACACTAAAGAAAAAGTTAATTTAATTTGTATAATTCTTCTGGTGGATGTGCTTATGCGCCACAAAAGGTCTGAGGTCACATGTCATGATAATGACGTTGAGCACCGACAAGAATTTGCGCACAGCGCAGGAGTACTCACGACAAATGGTTGCTCTGAAAAGAAGGGCGTTTTCGAAGTCCGACTTTGCTTTATCAAGCGTTTGGTTGCGCATCTGCACCACTGTTTCGTGTTCCAATGTGTAGCAATACAAATGCGGTCAGTTATGACAGACCCACTTAATACTAAACGTAGGGTGTTACCTACCTCCTTTGGCTAGGCCACCGAGCAAACGCGATCCGTACGGGTATCTTACCATGTCGGAAAAGAAAGTACACATGCAAAAATATGTCAACAAGTCAAACCTTGCCGCATGTGTCACAGCTATTGGCCAGTTAGTCGCGTCTAGAAGAATGTAAGCAGTCCTTTAACTAAGAATTCATAGTTGTTCCATCAAAATATGTATTTGGTGGTACCTGTATTGTGTTCTTTGTGGGCCGTCTAGCCAATCCGCTGCTGTTAAGTGACATAGCTGTTCCTAAACAAAATTTGTTTTACCGCGGCTTGCCGGTGGCCATTGTTTCAAATGAAGGTATGTGCTTATGGCAAAAGGCTGGCAGATTATTTTTATGATGTTTGGTACTTACCCACCTTATACTATTCTTATACAGATAATTAGACAAAGGTTTTATCGCAGAATGAAAGATATCCATCGGAGTACTTGCGCGGATGACCGTGATGCTAAACATATATGCTCCCTCATTGGATCTGAATTGAAGAGTACAGTACACGCAACTGCAGGATTCGACCCAACCGTTATTAGTGATTTGGCTCACGTATATGCTTCACCCCTCTATACGGTGGCTCCGTTGTCGAATCGATTCGATTTTGCCGATAGCAAACAGCTAAACTTTGCGGCAAGAACAAGGTTAATGCATCGACGAGATTAAGCTTCATGCTCAGAGCTTCGACGATATGGCTAAGGACTAGGATATGCATAAGGAACATATAGATGCAAAGGAAGACATAGAACTCAGTCTCAAAAACAAAGTTGCAATCTCAATATATTGGATCCTAGATAAAAATAGTTTTGCTATAAATGTTTCCAGAGAATGCGATAACATCATGTTTCTTACGAGGGATTACTCAAGCTGTACCACATCCCAGCTCCTATGAGCATTTGTGTGTGAGCGCTTTGTTGTAAACTAAAAAAGTCGCAGCCTCTCTTTTTGCTGAGGTAACATCTATGGCAGCAAATTGTATTGAACCAATTCAAGGCCTTCAAGACAAGCGGTTCATTTGCTTAATTCAATGAGCGCATCAAAAGACGAGTCGCGTCATTATTGGCCGCATTACGGAGCGTTTACACAAAGTCGACGTAGAATAATAGCAAAGATATTCATGACAACCTATTGCGGGGTCGTCGTTCTTTGCTGACTCTATACGATGAGCAAAGATTGGCATATTTTCATGTGTTTAGTAGACCGCCGCGCTCAATAGAGCTGTGGCCGGTGTCTGGTGAAGTGGACCGAAGTTCTAACCTTAAAATATATGGAAGTCGAGGTCCTCTGTGGCAAAAATTTCCCCGTTGAGACTGCTGCTTAAGTCTTGGCACACCCTATACCATTCTTTTTAGAGACAAGGCAAAAATGCGCAACACAGCACTCTCGTCAAAGTCGGTTGGAGTCTGACCTTGTTCAGTTAGCCGTTAAAGGACCATGATATCAAAAACAGCTATTTACAGCATGGGCTCGAGGTAGCGAACGTTCATGTCAACGACGACATTGTGCTTTCTACTTTGCAAGCCAACATTATGCCACACTCTATCGTGATGTTTGCTTCGAGCTTGTCGAGCCGTTAAACGGGTGGAGCGACTAGCCTACATTACCCAGCGTGCAATCAAGCGAGATAATCTTCAAGACTTTTACACGCGCTGAGTACACAAGGGAGTGTATCAAGATACACTTTAAGGTCGTGTACGTCGTTTGAAGAATTGTTCAAGCACAATAATGTACATTTGTACGAAATTAAGATTAATAATTGTGGAAATTTTTGATGCATTGAAGTATAGGTATCAATGACAACGTTGGATTTGCGTAAAGGTTAGACCCACGGACACGTGATCTTTCAGTAAAACGCCAAGCAATATTAATAGATTTGATATTAGGTATGGTAGTAAGTGTTTTATTCCATTTTTTGATAGCAGAGCAGCCTAGTCACTTGAGATCCGCTTGTGTTCTCTCCTATTTGAGGCGTACAAGCCTTACACTTGTGCGTCTGCTAACTCGGAATATTTAGGAATAATCTTCTCCTGCGCGAAGTGCAGTTCTTTTCAGCTGAATCAGTAAAGCTTGTGGTCATACCCATAATTGTGCCGTAAAAAATCGAATTCTTTATGGGATGGAACTCGATCTGTTTGAGTACAAGTTTCCGGGAAAGCAAGACACGCTTATAAAACATATGTCTAATTGGCTCCAAAGGGACAGAAGCCCTGGTAGTATCAATAATCGCCCGCCTAGAAATGTTCGACTGCCTGTAGCACCCCAAAACGGTGGCGATGAGAGTGGGGAGGGCACCCACCGTGTGATCTCGGTTGTTGAGTGTCCAGCCCTTTGAGAGCTAGAGCGAAAATGTCCTCTGGGTCGGACAGGGGAGATGACCATGGGCTCAGCCATGCTTTAAACTGGGTCAAAGTGCTTCGAGCTTACATTTTCCATGCAGGAGATCACGCGCGACGATGGACACTATCATTAAATAATCTATGAAAGGGGCTTCATGATATGAAATGATCAAAAGCAGCAATCATCGCGTGTATTTGCACCATCTAGTCAGGCGTATTAGGAGCCTTCTAAGTTCTTGTAAAGTCAACGAAGAGGAAACTACCCGACTAGTTTCAAAAGCTAAGCACCCTTATCCCTGCAACGACATCAGACAGTCTTTCGAAGGCGGTAACAGTTACCAATATCTAAGGGCCTCCAAACACGTGCGGCTCGCATGGAGACTCTTCAAGTTCCATCCGCATCTTCTTAAAGAGGCAATGCGTGTCGTGCCCAAAGTGGAGTATAAATCATGTGCCGCAAGATCCACTTTGGTTACTAAAGTGGAAGCTCTACGAGCGCAAACAGACGCGATAGACTCCAGCCATGTTGTAAAGGAAGAGATAGTTTTTTTGTTGCCAAGCGGCTTGGTAGTACTCGTATATATGTTATTTGCGTCAGTACAATGCATTTGCTTTGTTCGTGTCTCATTCGTTCCCAGCTGAGAGATTCCATGGTCGGGTTTTAACGCGTGGTCGTCTGGCAAATTATTCGCCTGAAAACGTTAAGACCAGTATACTATTCTGTGCCCACTGGTAAAGAAATAAACTATATTATATTGCGTAAAGGCCGTGCTCTAAGGAGGTCAGCCTAGAGAAATGGGGCTCATAGTCCAGCTTTTCCATTGCTGATGACAAAGTCTTTGGCTTTGTAAAGCCATGCAAGATCGGAAGCAGAAGACAAAGCTCGGAGGCAATACAAATGCCATCTTTGTATGCAATATCTTACGACGAAGACAATGGCAAGGGTTTTAAGTCTTGACATTAAAATTGGGCTCTTTGTCGGTATAAGACATTGTTTCATTCTAAATCTTGCTTTGATAGGATTTCATCCTGGGGATGGAATGGCACGAAAGTCATGGCCCGTAGCAGTAGAGCTTGAAAGGTAGAAGCGATAGTGAGCCCCGATCTCTGGATGAGTTGGGATAGGCGACTGAATATAAATGGTGTGTGGTATTCCCCAGAGAGTATCCCGGCGGGACGGAATAACACAGCTCTAATCTAATGCCTCCTGTGTTCTGCTGTGTCAGAGCTGGCGGAAAGTAACAAGCGACTGGGATCCGCGCCAGAGCCAAAGAAGTCGACGAGCCAATGTAACTCAAAAGACGAATAGTCAGGATCAAAAGTCGTCAAAATGACTCGACCTTGTCGCGATATAACGGTGACGCTAAGTCCGCACAATAGAGGTGTCCATCGTGCGAGGCATTGAAAATCCATGGACTGAGGGCAAAATAGATTATCTTGTCGTGACTTGGGTGATCCTGATGGCCTGAAGGCTTTAAGTCGCCTCTCTCTACCTTTGGCAGGCAGTCCTGATAGTTGAGAGAAAACATCGCTAGGGATCTCTAAAAAACATCAAGACGGTGAAGTTGCCAAACAAATATTATTGTTACCGGAGGAAGGGCTGGGATCATCAGCAACATCGTTATAGATGAGTTATACTTGCAGATCCTGTAAGTCCACTGTCATCACCATCCTACATACTTTTTGTGCACTATTCAAAGGATAATCATGACGTGGTGGCAAGAAATCCGATATGCGTGTGCCCCCGGATCGCGATGTGCGCCATGTGATTGACTTGACAGCTGGGACTAAATATAAAGCCACACGTCAAGAGTTCTCAACCACGGCATTATACGCCGTCATACATACTTTTGACCGTGAAGGGCATCAAGCGAGTCTCGTAAAAGAGAGTAATTTCTCCACATGACCGACTTTATTGTCAGGACGATTAATGGCAAGTTGCAAATTGTATGTGCTTAAAATAACATAAAAGGAGCCATTGTTCAGGTGCAAACGCCGATTCACAACGGCATAGCTGATTGCAATTTTGCTCACTGTCCTTGTCCTAGTGATGGGTACAGCGATGGACGACCTGCGTGGTAGCTCGACCCTTCATACCGCTCGGTCAAGAGCGATGGGACATTCAAGGGCAGATGTTTTATACTAACACATATAAAACATCTGGCACTGCTCGACAGCCGTTATCTCTCTTTTCCATGACTGAGTCCCAGCGGTGAGTACTTCAAGCGGGTTTTTCTCGAAATGGCTGGTTTTCAATAGGAACTGATGGACTTATGGTCATCTGGTGACGCAGTACATCATGCCTTCACCTCAGCAATACTTCCTGCAGAGTACGTAGAGTTAAC